GAACCCGCATGCTGCAACTACTGAGGCCCGCGCGCCTAGAGCCCGTGCCCCGCAACAAGAGAATCCACCGCAATAAGCTTGTGCACTGCAACGAAGAGTAGCCCCCGCTCGCTCCAACTAGAGAAAGCCCGCGCACAGCAACGAAGACCCAGAGCAGCCAAAAATAAATAAATAAATAATTATTTTTTAAAAAGAGCTTCACCGTGTCCCAGGCACTGAAGTGAAACACTCGATAGGTATTTGTGCTTTCTGTTCTCAGAAACACAAGCAAAAACAACAAAAAAGGAACTGGCAGGCTCATCAATGGTAAAAGAAGTCAGAATGGCACGTCCTCTGGTGGGAGCATATGGACCCAGAAGGAGCACAGGGGACTTCTGGAGTAGTGGGAATGTTCTATATCACTATCTAGGTGGTAGTTACACAAGCGCATGCATATATAAAAATGTATTAAGCAGTACACTTCAGATTTATGTACACCATATGCCTCACTTGTGTGTTTTATACCTTAATTTTGGGGGGTTAGAGTTTCTCAGTCAGAAAGGGAGTTTGCCTCTTTGCCTGCAAACCATATCCTACAGCAGTGCCTCAGTCACCGCTTCAACCAGAGTGTCAGTTCTGAAAATTACGTGGGCGTTGACTTTGAGGAGAGGACTTTATGGAACCCAGGAATGAAGAGGTTGATATTTGTCAGAATAAACAGATCTGGTCAAGCAAGGGGAAGAAACGTGAGATCAAGTCATTGGATGACTAACTCTAGGCAAGAAAACTGGAGTTGAAGCATTAACAACTTAAAGCAGAGTTTCGATGCTTTTTTGCCCCCCTTGTTTTTTGAATTGCTTCTACTTAAGTTTTTCTTTTCCTTGTCACCCTGCCTCTTATAGGAATTCTTTGCATTTTGTGAACATTCCAGGGCTATTGATTAATAGGAACAGCCCCCTTTCCCCCTCTTCTTTTTATAGGATTGATTTCCTCCTCCTCTTTCAAACTGAATACTGAAATATTAGAGTTTAGTTATTTATAAGGAAGAGTGAACATTTTCTCCTTGGAAGTATAAAATTAATTTTCTTAACTTCTGTAGTTTCATAGGAAGAATCAGTAAACTGTTTCAGATTGAATTTTTCCTCTCAGATGTGCAGTTTCTTGTAAGCAAAATACTTTTCTGTCATTGCTCTGCTTATTAGTCATGTGAAATATTCTGAGAGCAGCTCTGACAAAGCATTTTAGAGCTAATGGGTAGTAATATGGGTAAAGAAAAAAAGGAACATCCTATACATCCTTTCTTGAAAAGTTTTGGAAATTTGCTGATCCATAGAGTTGTTTTAATCTGAATGAAATTTTTCTAGACCTTGATTTGAAAGAGTAAATCTGCAAATCTGGGATAAGTAGCAAAGAGAATTTTATGGATGTGTTATTTGGAGATTTGTTGTTTACAATCCTTGGTCTATCTTTTTGTTCTCAGTCCCAAATATATGCAGTTTCTCTTCATTCCTGATTTGAATATGAGTGTTTTAATCAATATAGGATGGTTTATTGATACTCCAAAATTGATAGAAATCTCAGGAATGTGTAAGAACAAAACTAAAGTTGCAGCCAACTTTTTAGAGCTTCTTATTCTCTCTTATTGACTGACAAGAACTGAGTTTATTTGTCATTTTCCCATTAGAGTCTCAGTTCCACAGGTTCACTGGCAAACTGGAGCGTTAGCTGAAAAAGATCTTTTATCGTTCATGTAACTTTACTTGGAGAGCCTTCAACCAACAATATCCCATCCTATATGGCCTTATAGCCTACATTCATTTATACCCCACCTTGTTCCAAGGGAGATTTGAGTAAGTTACAGTATACATCCAACACAGTGAAGGGAAATAAATATGCTTGGAAATTGGAGCACAAAGGAAAACAACCCAGTGAAAGCCAATAGTTAGTCACAAATTTGACTCCAAGCTTCCTAGTAGCCAAAATAAAGAGGAAAGACCATAAGATAAAAAACAGGTCAGTTATAAATTGGACTCCATCAAAAGTTTTAAAGTTTTGTGTTGAAAATGGAACCATCAAGAAAGTGAAAACACAGCCCACAACATGGGTGAAAAAATTTACAAAGCATACATCTGTTAAGAGACTAGTATCTAGAAACTATGAAGAATTCTTGTAACTAAATAATAAAAAGGCAAATAACCCAATTAAAATGGGTAAAAAATTGAATAGACATTTTTCCAAAGAAGACATACAAATGGCCAATAAGCATGTGAAAAGATGTTCCACATCATTAGACATTAACCACAATGAGATACCACTTTAAGCCCACTGGATAGTTGTAATCAAAAAGGCAGACAGAAACAAATGTTGGTGAGAATGGAGAGAAAGTAGGACCCTCATACACTGCTGGTGGGGATTTAAAATGGAGCAGCACATTGGAAACCAATCTGGCAGTTTCTTAGATGATTAAACATACCATTAATCATATGACCCAGCAGTTACATTCCTAGTTACATACCCAGAGAAATGAAAACATAGCCACACAAAAACTTGTACACAAATGTTCATAGTAACATGCTCTGTAATAGCCAATAAGTGGAAACAACACAAATGTCTATCACCTGATGAATGGATAAACAAAATGTATATTCATACAGTGGAATACTATTCAGTCATATAAAGGAATTATGTACTGATACAATCCTCAACATGAATGAACCTTGAAAACATTATGCTAAGTGAAAGAAGCCAGTTACTAAAACCACATATTGTATGATTCCACTTATGCGAAATGTCCAGAACAGGTAAATCTGTAGAGACGGAAAGTACTTCAGTGGTTGACTGTAAAGTTAGGGGAAGGGATGAGGGAGGGAAATGGGGTTTTAGGGGGTGATGAAAATATTCTAACCATAGATTGTGGTAATGGCTGCACAACTCAAAATCATTGAACTGTCACTTTGAAGAAGTGAATTTTATGGTTATGTGAATTATATTTCAGTAAAGAAATCTCATTCAGTAAAGAAAAGTATATTTCAGTAAAGGAAAAGAAAAAAGAGTTTCTCAGTTTTATATGACTGTTTCTTGTAAGGAATATCCTTCAGTGCAGGCTCTCTTAATACCCAATGCAAAAAGCAATTCTAGGAGGACCCAAAACAATGTGATACTAGTACATATTTTGCCACACACATAGCTTTTAAATTCTAATTAACCAACACTGTGTATACAATTTCAGGTAAAGCCTTGTTCTCCCACTTCTTAACAGTTGCTTTTGTGATGTACTGTTTGAAGGCACTATCGTTTTCTTGTGAAAGTTTGTTCTATGTGAGGAGATTTGAGAGGGTGTGACATTGCCTTAACACATGCCAACACATGGTTGACAAATGTAAGCAGTTGATAAGTTGATTCCAAGTTTCCATTTTCCCCGTTGCCTTGGGAAGTTAATTTTCAGTTCTTCCAGTTTCTCCTCTCTGATTGATACAAAAAGCCTCAGGAACAGCAAACTGTTACTGTTCATTATTCTTCCCTGCCTTCTTTTAAAAAATTAGTATTGGAGGAGCTAACAGGGTTCTCCTAATAAGATCTTTCTTGCTACAACTGGTAACCTTTTCATATATTAGCGCTGTTACTGTCTTAAAATGAAGATGCAAGAAAGTTTACCTGTTGATACTAATTTTTAAATAGCTTCCTTTTCCAAAAGTGAGGGAGAAGAAGGCCTTCTTAATAATTGGCCTGCTCTCTTGCACAGCGAATGGAAGCCACGTGGGTTGGAAATGTCAGCCTCTGCTGCGTCTCTCCTCCCAGATGGTACATGAATTTGTATTCAGAATTGAATAGATTTATGCCTTTGCCAGCTTAGTACTCCACCCCCGGAAAAGAAATAACCCTTCACTTATAACCCATTTTTCTCTCCTTCCAAATGCCAGTCTGTTATTCAACGGCCGCTCCTTTTCATTAAGGACAGTTGGACCCCACACAAGTTGCTTGAAATCATTAAGAAATAGTTTTAAATAACTTTTTTTAATAGGACACAGCAGCTACAGATCTAATATCATCTGAACTATCACAAACTAAAGAACAGTTGTAATATTAAATGATTTGGACATATTTTGATATGTGAATGTTAAGACGTAGATTAGCAGCTGGCTATTTAAAATGAGGAAAACGTCGTAACTCTTGTTTCTTCTAGTCAGCTTGATCGACCCCATCGTCTTAGCTATGGATGACATTAGTTAAAGGTTCTCGTGCCACTCACAATGTGAACAATCTTAGAAACTCTCCCCACCTCATATTTCCCCCCAATTTAGTTTTTCGCAGTAATCCTGTCGCTTCTCTAACTAGTCGATTTTTATTAGGGATGGGAATAGGCTTAAAGGTGGGACGCTGGGATGTCTGTGCTGGCAGCAGTGCTGTTGGTTTACTCACTCTTTTTCTGCCTTCATTTTTGCATGCCACTGCTCCTGCCTCTTACAGCCACAGTAGAAGCGGTAGAGGCCCGGGAAGGTATGGCCATATTCCTATGATAGATGTGATCATGTGTCTGTCTACTGGTTTTAAAAGCTTTGTCAACATTCGAAATCTTTTATTATTGCATCACCAGAACTGTAACAGTGAGGAAAGGAAGAGATATCTCTAGGCGTGCTCACAAAGTATTTCCTTTGTGTCCTGTATTTGTATTAATTTAAATGACCTTCTCCACAGCTGAAGTCCTTTCTGGGCTCTCTCAGTTTTAATGCAATGACTGAAGCTTAAGCAACTGGTCATGGGGGTTCAAATGGTGTAATCTCATAGCCCTTCCATATCCAAGAGGCTTCCATTTGATTATCAGAAATTCAAACCGTCCGCCTCTTTATCTAATGATTCCAAAGGACATCAAGAGTGGAGGCAAAAGTAGATAGGAGTTAGTTTGATTTGTTTCTGAGGTTGCCCTAAGTCAGTCAAGCTAAATTATCTTTGTTTCTATGAAAACAAATTTTAAGTAACAAATTATCTATGAATTCTGAGGATGAAAACCATTGGAATCGATAAACTTGTGTTATAAATTTAATTGTTCTGTTAGATAAGATGGTTCACAATGCGAATGCCTTTCCTTGGTGATACAAAAGTTCAGTCAGAAAGAAAATATCTAGGAACTATTTTTTAGATGGCTTTTAACTTACATTCAGCTCCTGGTTGTGCAAGATAAAAAGCTTTCCTTCTAAACAAACTTTTTTGTGTGGTCTATGTGATGTTTGTGTCAGAGCAGCTACTCTGCTTAACTTGTTCTGTTATTCTAGTGTTGCCTTTTTTTCTCTCTCACTGAGCACGTTTCTGGCCCATAAGAGACTCTTTCAAATGTATTGGGGCTTTTTGTCAGGTCTGCTTCTGCTATGATTAATTGAGCTATGAAAATGACTTTCACAGTTTCCGTGGCCCTTTGGGCCTTAAGGAAGCAGTAGCTTCAGACCAGGCTAATTGAAATCAAATATTGCTCAATCCCTTCACCAGACATGTGCTCCACAGCCACCCTTCTGTATTTTTCTCTAGGAGGTTGCTGTATGCTAAGAAACTTAAAGCTGGTCGCTTTACTGTCTAATTGAGCTCCTCCCTTTCCTGTTTTTCTGTAGCCATCAGAGGGTTTTCGCTTCAGCACAGGATCCGGAGTTTTGAAGAAGCCCGAGGTCTGGACCGAATTAATGAGCGGATGCCACCCCGCAAAGATAGCCAGTACTTTGATGCGCCGGTGAAATTGGTCCAACCAAACGCTGCGCACAGGAGTGACAAGGGGAGAAGAGCCAGTAATGACTCAGAGCCCTGCTGTGGCACAGGTGGATCCAAGACTTAACAATCAATTTTATTTATTTATTATTGGAAAACAAAACAAAAACAACTGAAGCAACTTAAACCTGGAGGTGCATTCATAATACACTCTGCATTTACTCTGTAAGAAAGGTGACCATTTTATAAATTCTTTTAATTTATGTTTAATATATACATAAAAAGTGAATGTGTTTTGTTTATCCTTTTTTTTCCCACCAGATTTTTAGGAACTGATCTGATTGTCTGATACATAGTGAAGTCTTGTGCTATAAAGGGGACCTTCCCCCTAATAAAAGGGCCTTGGAAACCTCTACCCTGGGTTTCTGACTTGAACTAGCCAGCCTTTTCTCTTGTTTTTGGAGGGTAATATCTTTAATTTCAGACTAATCATTTTTCGAACACAAAAGCGTTTTTTCTTTTTTCTTTTTTTCCTTTCTACAGGGTACCATTGAAGATCTCTTAGATTTCAGTGGCTAAAACTTCTCTTCTTATGGAAAACTTGATTATAGTAGAACTCTTAAGTGAATAACCGAAACCCAGTGATTTTAAGGGCCAAGGGAAATGTTTTCCATGATAACCTACTTTCTTCTGGACTCTCAATTACTCGATGCATTCTAGTATGGCGAAATAAAAAATAATGAGGGATTTTTGTAGAATTACTTAAAATTTGTTCATCTAACCGTGGGCATGATTGGTTTAAACTTCCCTTAGAACTTTGGAGGTTTCTTAACTGTTGCCAGATCCTTTTGCCTTTTTTTTTTTTTTTTTAAATTTTTTGCGGTCCGGGGGCCTCTAACCGCTGTGGCCTCTCCCGTTGCAGAGCACAGGCTCCGGACGCGCAGGCCCAGCGGCCACGGCTCACAGGCCCAGCCGCTCCGCGGCATGTGGGATCTTCCCAGACCGGGGCACGAACCCGTGTCCCCTGCATCAGCAGGTGGACTCTCAACCACTGCGCCACCAGGGAAGCCCCCTTGCTTTTATTTTTGAACACTAGGTGATTTACCCCATCTGCAAAGGAAGCGACATTTCTAAATATTTTATAAATGCCCTCTGTAGAGCCTTCGATGGTAAGAAGTGTTTATGCCCTTCTGTGTTACTGCATCAGCTCTCACATCTATCCTCCCCGGTGTCCGTCTGTTTTTCTGTGTCAGCATTTTTGAAACCAACTGGGGTAATGGAAACTGACTAGGTTAAAATGGTCCCCCAGTGAACTGGAAGTCTTGCTAAAGGGCATTGGATGAGTGAGGATTTCCTGTCTATCAATTACTGGAATGTTCCTCCATTTTTCAGCACTCATTATATTGAACTGTTTGTCAGTCTCTGTCAGCATATTTTGGAATACAAAAACAAGTGATCAAATACAAGGTTTGAATAATCTTTCCTTAGTTTTTCAAGTCACAACCAACTAGTGAAGGAAATTTCAGGGATCCTTCGGCTCCCATTTTGGTTTAGCCTGATGACAGGTGCCATGTCATAATACTCATTGGTCAGCCTTGTAGTGAAAGTGCATGTCTGGGCCACACTACACCAAAGTGCATATTTGTGGAATTCCTTAATGTCATTTGGGAAGTAGGAGTCCAGCATTGAAGCAAGTATCCCAGACAGTAGTACTTTATGCTTGGAGCTTCAAGGACACCAGAAACCTTTTTTCAAAAAACATAATTTCAGAGAATTCCCTGGCAGTCCAGTGGTTAGGACTCTAGGCTATCACTGCTGAGGGCCCAGGTTCAGTCCCTGGTCTGGGAACTAGGATCCCACAAGCCGTGTGGCACGGTTCAAAACAAAACATAATTTCATTAGAAGAATGAGGATTTAGCCCATCTATCTCTGTTTTGCTATGCCTTGCTAACAGTTCCCAATTTGTTTATGACAGAGATCAAAGCACTTTGGAGATTGCAATCTGGTGGCGTAGAGTGCTCTGTTAACAAAAAAGATAGGAAGGATATTGGGAAGGAGATAAAAGATCTCTTATTGGGCTGTAAGTAAAATCTTTGAAAGAGGAGAGAAAGAGTCTCCAGTAGCTGTCTTTACTGATCATCATTTCTTTATAATCAAAGAGGAATTCATCACCTGGATATCCTCATACTCCTCCCTCCCCCAGCCCCAATAGGGAAAGGGCCGCTGTTTTGGAAATCTCACCTAACGTGACAGTCAGTTCACAGGACAGGTTTGATAGATGGGAGTCCCTGATTCCTTTCTCTTTTCCATTGAGGCTATTGTTATACATACACAGTCCACAGGTAGAAACCGTGGGCTTCAATCTTAAGGGCTTCAATCAGCAGGCAAGTAGTGAAACAGTTACTACAAATCCTTATAAGCAAAAAATAGTATTAGGGAAAAAAAAAAAAAGACAATTACTTAGGAAGGTCTTCATTTTCTTCCCCAAATAAAGTAGTACGATCAATCAGTTTTCCTTGACAGAGCCATGTGAAGAGATGTACTTTACAGTAACTTTTGAGCTGTTGAAGGTTCAGCTGGAGTAGAGTTAAGTGGTCACGATTCAAGAAAATTGGAGGGGGTTTAAAAGAGCATAGCAGCAGCTCTGGAAGGAAGTTAGGTTTGAGAATCCTGTTGAATTCTAAAGGTAAAGGCATTTCTTATGTTCTGTAGAAAGCTGGGTGTGTATTTCAGCACTTTAGAAAGTTGTGTGGTGAGTGTGTCTGTCTGGTACAAGTAGCTTTTTTTTTAAAATTAATTTATTTATTTTTGGCTGCGTTGGGTCTTCGTTGCTGCACGCAGGCGTTCTCTAGTTGCGGTGAGCAGGCACTACTCTTCGTCGCAGTACGCAGGCTTCTCATTGCGGTGGCTTCTCTTGTTGTGGAGCGCGGGCTTCAGTAGTTGTGGCACGCGGGCTCAGTAGTTGTGGCACGCGGGCTCTAGAGCGCAGGCTCAGTAGTTGTGGCTCACAGGCTTAGTTGCTCCACGGCATGTGGGATATTCCCGGACCAGGGCTCGAATGCGTGTCCCCTGTATTGGCAGGCAGATTCTTATCCACTGCACCACCAGGGAAGTCCTACAAGTAGCTTCTTAAAGCCAGACCGGCAGGCAGTGCACCTATATGTGCATTTGTACCTGGGATTCAAGACAGTTTAGAAGGCGTAAACCGGGGCTTCCCTGATGGCGCAGTGGTTAAGAATCCGCCTGCAAATGCAGGGGACACGCATTCGAGCCCTGGCCCGGGAAGATCCCACATGCTGCGGAGCAACTAAGCCCGTGCGCCACAACTACTGAAGCCTGCGCACCTAGAGCCCGTGCTCCGCAACAAGAGAAGCCACCGCAATGAGAGAAGCCCGCACACCGCAATGAAGAGTAGCCCCCGCTCGCTGCAACTAGAGAAAGCCGGTGCGCAGCAACGAAGACCCAACGCAGCCAAAAATAAATAATTAAAATAGATAATTTTTTTTTAAAGGTAAAAATAAATAAATAAATTAATAATAATAGAAGGCGTGAACCTTAGGAATATATTGATATAACAGCACTTATTCTTCCCTTTAGACTTCATTGGAGGGTTTTAACATATTTTTTAATATTTTAATCTGAATAGTAGCTCCCGAGATGGCTGGTGGCCTGCCCTGAGTTTGCCATAAAACTACCTGGGGCCTGATAGTCTGACTGGGGCCATCATTTCAAACAAACATTTTGACTGCTGTCAGCGCTCTGTGGTGTTGCTGTTTTCAAAGCCTCTTCTGTTTTTACTAAATCTTCCCCCTAAATGTTCTAAAGATACTAAAAATACTTTTCTCTTGTTCTCCTTCACTTTAAAGTCCACAGAGACGTTATTCAACTTCTCTCATGGGGGTTGGGGGGACGCGTCAGAGGGCTCCTTTGTGAACTTTTCTGAAATACCAGTTTAGAAATGACACTTCCCAAAGACCAGTTTTCCCAATTTTGTTTATATCCACGTCATATGAAGTTACAAATTGATCAGATGACAGTTCTTGTTAATAAAAATTTTAGAACTCATCTAATACAAGTTCAAAACCTACATCTTTTTTTAATCTCTGTGTTCTGAATATTTAGAGAAAAAGTAAAAGAATAAGCCACGTGTGTGTGCATGTGCGTGTGCGTGTGCGTGTTTGTGTGTGTGTGTGGGAGAGAGAGAGAGAGAGATGGAATGCTAAAACAAAAGCAGCCTGTTTTCTTTAAAACCTCAAGGTAACACTTAGGTTATGGGTACAGACATTGCTGATTCACTGGTCTTTTTTGACTAGATATTGACCAGCAAAGTGAAAATGCCTTATGGATGGGTATGATGTGGCTTCTTGCCTAGGGATAGAAGAATCAGACTCTCCAGGAATATCAGTATTTTTCATACCCTTTTATCTATATTTACCTTGCCTTTTCTGTTCCTACAGAACGTTTGCAGTTCCATGAATCAAGTTTTTCTCAGTAGCAAAGATTTGCTTTCTTATCCTGATAACAGGATAACTGACTTCATGACACTATTCAAAATAGGAAAAGGAAAGCTCTTAATTGTTTTGTAAACAGATTATTATTATTTAATGTCATTATGGAGCAAGGGTGGGATTTCTTCAAATTGGATAACTTGGGGCCTTGGCATTGTCCCTTAGATCCTCTTCTGAGTAATTTTAAAACACAAAGTTTGGGACTTCCCTGGTGGTCCAGTGGTTAAGACTCCACACTTCCAACACAGGGGACGTGGGTTCGATCCCTGGTCGGGGAACTAAGATCCCACATGCCTTGGGTTGTGGCCAAAAGATTAAAAAACAAAACAAAACAAAGCAAACAAAGTTTGAGGCAGCTGCTCTCTGTAAGAAAAATATTGTAAACCATGCCTACATGAGATACAGCCAGACTTATTGCTCATGGTCATTACTCAATAGTCCCTCTAGCCTCTTGGAGTAAGTAAGGCTGAAATCTGTTCCCTCTACCCTCCCTTGTTTTATGTAAATATTGTAGCTGATCTCCAGAAGTTTTGACTGTACCATATCTATAAATATAAAACTCAAGCTCTTGAGAGTTACGTTCATCCTGACCAATCTGGGTGACCAGTTAGTTAAAATGGTTTAGGAAGAGCTTGTACCAGATTGACTGATTCATAGTTTTTCTTTGTATTAATTTTCAGGTTTTTTCCTCCAGTTTTTGTATTGAAAATTACTTTCGTACCCAGAAAGACCTGTTGAGATATCATTCTAGAGATATTTATTGTAGTTGTTATAGTAACAGTGGAACCCAAGTGTTTTTCAAAGCATTATTCAGCTTTCCCTAACCTGGGAGCAAAGACTTCGGAGG